ACCGAAAATGGCGAATGGCAAGGTAAATTGCGAGTAATTCACGACAAAAAGCACTGTAACGCTTTTGTGCAGCCTGCATCTTCTGCGAAAAAGGCTAATGGTTGAAACACATTATTAATAATTTGATGGAGCACGACGGCTACCGCTGCGTTCGGTGCATCATTTGTCAAATTAAGCTTTGTGTTTTCGTGGGTATAGAGGGAGGATAGTTTTGTGGTGTGGGCAATGGCTTGCTTGGCTCGTTTGAAAGCAGTAATGGTGGCGGGGGATAAGTTGACAGATTTTTCCCTGGAGCCAAGTAAATCGGTCACTAGCTTTAAATCATCTGCACAGTGAGGGATGAGCCGCCGATAATAGTTTATGATCTCAATGGAACGACGAAGTTGGGTGATACTGGTTGTTACTAGAAAAGATTCTGGGGCCAAGGTGCGATGTGACAATGGTGAAAAACCGGTTTGGCCATGTGGTGGCCGAAAATCCTGGGCTAGTAACACTAAACAAGCATTTGTAAATGTTCAAACGTATGTTGGAAGTGGAAAGACGCTCAAATACTGCCCTGAGATGAGCTGCATGCTCAGTTTGAGAGGTGATAGTGATTAAAACGTCGTCTAGATAGGCGAACCCAAAAGGTAACCCACGTAAAACCTCGTCCATGAAACGTTGAAACGCTTGAGCCTCATTTCGAAGAACGCAGGGCATACGCGTGAACTCGGAAATGCTAAACGGTATTGTGATGGCTGTTTTAGGAATGTCATCCGGGGCTACGGAAATGTGGTAGTACGCACGTATGGGATGGAGTTTAGAGAGAATGGCGTAAGGCACTTGCCAAATCGTGAATATGTGGGATGGGATACCTGTCTGGGATAGTGGCGTTATTGAGAAAAAGGTAATCTCCACAAGGTCTCCAATCATCTTTAGATTTATTGGGTATCATATGTGGGGATGAATACTAGTGACTCAATGTGGTACGGATGATGCCAAGTTCAAGCATGTGCTCGCACTCGTATTTTGCGATATCTAGCCTATCCGGGTGAAGTCGGCGGGGGTTGGCACGGACAGGAAGACTTCTCGTCCGGCTATGATGAATGACGGACTGACTGACCGTTTATGTGTACTGACATGGATGAGTAGGGTTTGGAATATTCCTTAGTATATCAGCAAAATTGGATTCAGGTAAGATAACTTGAATACCTGTGGATGAAGTAGAGGCACTAATTCCGTTGACTGAGAGAAAATGTAGCGTGTCCGAGGAGTGTTTATTT